CTGAGGTGGGAGAGGAGACTCCTGTTGCCAAGTGCATCCTCTGTCCTATGGAGCCCAGACCCACTGTGTACTTGAGGGAGGCAGATTCAGCTCAGTCGGCAGAGGAAAGAGCCTCACCAGGGCTGTTCCAGGGCCTGGACAGAGTGACGTCATCAGTCTTGTAGCTGTGTAAGGAAAGGTCAGATGGACACCTGTTCTCCCATGGCATGAACCTGATTTGGGCCAAAGAGTCCCAACCTGAACAATCGTTAAGAGGTGACTGGGGGGCTAAGGAGTTAGCTCAGTTGGGAAAGTGTTCATCTCATGCATAAGGACCTGAATTCAATCCTCAGGACCAATTTTTTTTTAATCAAAAACTAAAGTGGTGGTATGTGCTTCATAACATCAGTTTTGGGGAGGCAGACAGCCTCTGGAGCTTGGTAGCCAGCCTGTCTAACCTACTCAACAAGCTCCAGAACAATGAGAGAACCTGTCTCAAAATACAAGGTGGGTTACCTGGGTAACCACACCCAAGGTTGACCTTTGGCCTACATACACACACACACACACACACACACACACACACACACACACACACACACACACACACACACACAAGGTGGTGCCTGGGCCTTCTTAATCATCTACATTCTTGGGTCTCCCTAGCAACTCCAGATCAAGAGGTCTGGGTGGACCTCAGAGGATCCCTGTCTCTAACTTCCCTGGGTGTTTGTGATGGCTTGAATGAGGTATTTCCCATAATCTCAGGCATTTTAATGTTTGATCACCAGTTGGTGGAGCTGTTTGGGAAGGCTTAGGAGGTGTGGCCTTGTTGGAGGAAATATGTCACCAGAAGCAAGCTTTTTGTTTGTTTGGTTGGTTGTTTTGTTTTGTGACAGGTTTTCTCTGTGCAGCCCTGTCTGTCCTGGAACTCACTCGGTAGACCAGGCTGGCCTTGAACTCACAGAGATCCACCCGCCTCTGCCTCCCAAGTGCTGGAATTCAAGGTGTGCACCACGACCGCCCGGCTGGAAGCAAGCTTTGAGAGGTGAAAGATTCATGTCATTTCAGTTTTGAGATGTCTGCTTCCTGCTTAGGTTTCCAGAAACATATTCTGCTCCTGTTCTATGCCACCTCCCTGCCATTATGGACTCCTCTCCTTCTGGAACCACAAGCCAAATAAGCCCTTCCTCCTGCAAGTCACCTCATTCATGGGGTTTTGTCACCGCAATAGGAAAGTAAGTCGCACAGTGTCCTGATGCAGAGCAGGGCTGAGGCACCGCAGCCCCCAGAGCTCCGTGGCTTGGGAAGGGCTTTGACAGTGATGCATGGAGTGGGAACAGCATATAGACAGGAGACCAGGGGAACAAGAGAGTGAGGACAGCAGATGAAAACGAGCTGAAGATGATGGCACTGACAAGATGATACAACAGGTTAGGTTAGCTCACCACACACCGTCAGGTCTGGGGAGTACCAGCCGGCCGGCTAGCGAAAGGGGCCAAGAAGTAGTCGTGTCAGGGAAGGCATCTTAGAGAGGTGAGCCTTAGCTAGCTGTGAGGGAATCATTCTAGAAGGAGGTGATGCAAAGTGAGATTGAGCTTGGGTGAGGCAGGTCACCTCTTGGAAAGAAGATGGGTACAACGGATGGGCTTAGCCAGATCACGACAGAATTAGCAGGATAAGGTCTTGGCACAGGGAACTATGGCAGGTTCCTGAGAAGCATGACCTGAAGGAAGGCCAGTTAGTGAGGCTTAGAGGAGCCTGTACCCGCTTCAGTCCTACCAAGTGTGGCTCTCTTTCGGGGAGGAAAGGATAATAGAATTGAGCCTAGTATCAGCAGTCAGCACACCTCCCTGCCCTGACAAATGTCACAGAAGGTACCAAGTATTAGGTCCCGGGGAGGAGTGGCTGGGAAGGTGAGCTGGCAGAATTTCTCGGGACTGTAAATCCAGAAGCCCAATCCCTCGTCTACAGAGCTGCAGTAAAAGGGCAGGCTGTCACTAGAGAGCCCTCAGGGCTGGGTTCGCGTTGGGTAGTTAGCCCCCAGATTCCTCTCTATGTGTTCTAGTCCAGGCTTTGAGGCTTTCCCAGCCACCTGGATCCTGACAGTAGCCCTGTGTCTACATGTGCAGCCTCGTCCCTTTCCAATTACATTCACGGGTCTGCCCTGCCTGCCCCCAGCCCTAAAACACCTCCAAACGGATTCCTGTCTTCTCCTCCAAGCCTACCTGAGTAAGCGGTACCTACCACACACATCCCCAAACTCTGCTCTCTTATACCCTACAGCCACCCTGAAGATGCCCCTTCAAAAGCCCCCAGGTTAAGCTTGCCATCGTGTCTAAATTGGGGATGGGGTCTTTAGACTTGCCTTCCAGCTTCTGTGGCCCATGGTGACCTCAGGCCTTTGCTCTCCTTCCTCAAAGGAGCCTCTGCCATCAGTCCCATGCCAGCCAGCCAGCATTGGAAGTCGCCATCTTTCTAGCCTCACTTGTCTCCATAAAACATATTACTCCCTGGCCTGACTGCTGAACTGCTCTAGACTTCCCTGCCTGTCCTGTTTGAAGGTCAGTTCTGTGAGGGTATGGATTTATCTGACATGTCCCTGGTAGGGACACATGGTTCTCCAGATGTGGTGTTGGGCACACAGAGACATACCTAGCAGTGGGTATTTCGCAAGTCAGGAGAATAAGAAATGAATGAACCGCTGAGCCATTGATGACACCAGGGAACACACATGGAACAACTAGTATATACCATGTAAGGATAAATGTGTGACTCAGGAGACATTCTGTCCTGAGAAGCCCCCACACATATACCCATGGGCAATTCCAGCCTCCATGGGAGCAGGAGCTAGTCCAGCAGCACCACCCAGGTGTCAGGGAAATTACCCCAGGCTCTCCTAGGTCCCCACCATGAGCCACCATCCCTGAGACAACAAGGAAAGGCCCATTTGAGCAGGCATGCTCTTTCAAGCAAGAGCCAGGAAACGCATGCTTCCTGAAAGGAAGAGACCTGGACAGGGCTTCCCCAAGTCCATAGGGACTCCAAGGAAACATCACAGGTCCCATTGTACTGAGAGGTGTGAGGCCTCTCACCTGGGACCCGTCCTTGCCTGCACTTCCTCCATCCTGCCAGAGGACAGCCTGCTGTCCCTTCCCAAACACAGGAGCACTTCAAGAAGTGACGAGGGAGGCAGGGGAGAGAAAGGAAAAACCTGGGCTTCTTCAGGATGTCAGGGTTCCCTACGCCAGGCGCCTGCCCCTTAGCACAGTGGAACAAAGTCTTCCCAGCTGAGCCAGCCGCCTTCCCAGCAACCCAGGCCCAAACACAAGCCCAGTGCCCAGCCTCCACAGTACTGCTCAGCCTGCCCTTCCTCGCCACTCAGCCCTTTTCTGCCGTCATTACTCTCCGTGCCCTTCTCTGCTCACCGAGGTTTTATTACAGTGACAAAACACTGGAAACCATCAACATACGCAACGGAGAACTAGTTAAATGGGACACGGCAACACAGGCTGGAACATTATGCTGCCATTAAAAATCACATTATAGAAGAGTATTTAATGATGGGAAAATGATCTTGGTGTAGTATTAAGTGTAAAAGGCAGGTTAGAAACCAGTAAGTACAGCTTGATCCCAATTATGTCATAAATACATATTTTGTAGAAGACTGACGGGCAAAACACCCAAGTGCTTGCATTTTTCTACTGAGAACACACATTGCATTTTATAACCAGAAAAATAGATGGTTTTTAAAGGACCCTACAGGTTTCCAGCCTTGGCTTGGAATCATCTCCTTCAGCCAGCCCTGCCAGCCACCAGCTGAGCCAGGCTCCCCTTGTCCTGTACTTCCTGGAGTGATCCCATGTTGTGCCTGTCACTGCTGCTACCCACAGGGTAGGGGGGTGGGGGTGGGGGTGCAGCAGCCTCCTGGTCAGGATGAGGCAGAACCCAGAACACTATGCCCCATCATCCAGGCACCACAAAGAACCCTGACCTCAGCCTCTTGCCCATTACCTCACTAACACAGGGGACCACCCCACCCAGGACCAACCAGTTATCAGGGCTGTTTTGATGGGTTAAGTGGACTTCAGAGTGACGCCTAGTGTCGGGGAGAGAAAAATGGGGTGTGCTCCCTGCCAAGTCACACACATAAACTGTCCCCCAGGCCCAGGAAGGGGTCTTCTGAGCACACAGTCCCACTGAGTCGAGAAAGGAGGACAACATGGTCTAGCCTGTACCACCACTCCTACTTAGCAAAGTAGCACTGTAGCCGTCTCTCATTGGCTCAGACACAGGAGTAAGGTGACTTTATCTGTCACAGTCAAGCCAGGGTCAAGCCAAGTAGCATCCTTTCCTGTCCCTTCCACTGCCCTCCCATCTCATCAGTTATACCACCGCTTCCACACATTCCCTCACATGGGACACGGAAGGGGAGGGCCTGTCACCTCCCACACCGTACGTGCCCAGCTCCTTGTGATATAGAGCAAGAGGCCATCTGCTCTGTTCACACAAAGCCAAGGTCAGCTAGCTGACAGTGCTTGTCGCAAACACATACACCTAGGATCTGAGCCTTGTCCTGCCCTGAAGGTGTCTGGACCCAAATGTCGACTGTGGAGCCCCATTAACTCCGCACATCGGAGCCGAGGCTGGCCTCTTGACAGTTTCTTGGACACCGACTCTCTCCGTGCACACGTTCCCACTCCCTCCTGACCTGGAGTCAGGCACACATTTGGTCAACGATGTGACAGCAGTAAGGACAGAGAGCATCAGCTTGCCTTTAGAGACACCCCCACCCTGCCTCCGACCAGGGCAAATGGGAACTTATTAGCCAGTGCTGTCTGTGAAACCATGTGGTTGGGACAAGTGCCCCGGGCTTCTGAGCTGGCTACGGACCAGGACTGGCCACAGCAAGGGCTACTGGGATTTGATTTCAGAGGACAGGGACAGATGGAAGTATGTTGAAAGAGGGCCCTGAGACCGTCCTTCCTGGAAGCCCCACTAACCCACAAATGGCCTCTTACCTGTGACTGGGTAGTGTTGGGTGCAGCTGGGCTGGGATCGGCCTGGGTCTGGCTCAGTGGGCTTTTTTGCCCATAGGCACCAGTACCTCAGGGCCTGTGGATACAGGAGGCTGTGGGGAGAAACAGGAGGTGGTTGTCAGACAGGACGGGCAGGGAGGTATGAGGGGGAAACATGCAAAAGGGTTTGTGTCTACCCAGCTGGGCAAGTAACACACACACACACACACACACACACACACACACACACACACACACACACACTCTGTACTCAACGGCATATGGACACTTGCATGCTCCTGCCTCCAGCTGGAGCAGCAAGGCTCTGGGAGCTTGGGTCTTTGGCTGCTTGTCTCCACAACTGGACCTGTGATCTTGGGACAGTCCAGTCTCTAAGCCTCACTTCTCTCATCCATGAAATAAGGATTTCCTCCTTCGGCCAGGACTGCAACAGAATAGCAGGGACACAGGGCCTAGAGGACAGTAGGTGTCCATCAACACCACTACTGGCCTCCTTCCCTGGCCGCTAGGTGCTAAGACAGTCTCCAGGCTAATGTCAGAGAACACAGCGGAGCCCAGGATGCCTCTCCCAGGGTCTGAGTCCCACCTTACCTGTCCCCAAAGAGCCCTGTGGTTCCCACTCATGTTCTCCCCTGTCTTACCCCCTCTTCAAGCATTCTCCAAAGGCTCCCCAGACTGGAGCAGGAAGGATGCTAGAGTTCAGCCTGAGGTCTCTGGTACGTGATGCCATCAGAAGGCCAGAAACGAGGCAGGTGCTCCCAGCTCTCCCAGTTCAAGACCCTGTGGCCCTGAACAGAGTTGTTTTTGTTTTTGTTTTGTATCTCTACCTCAGTTTCTTCAACCTCTCAAAGCCCTCAATCCCTTTCTGAGTTATCACCAAGGGGTCTCAATCAGATCTGTGTTTCTCAGGGTGTGAGACACACGTCTCTGGGTGGCATGAGGGATTTAAATGGTATGCAAACATTTTTATTTCCATTGGTGTGTGTTTGTTTTTCCGTGTACTAGAGAAAAACATGACAGGCACGATTTCACGGATGTGTAACTCAGGGAGCACCGTGATAACCCACCTTCAAACAGTAGTCCACAAAAGGCGAAGGTCATGGGGAAATGAAAGTGAGGAGGTGCCTAGAAAGCCTGCTCTGCCCCAGCAGCCTTCACCCAGGGGCCAGGTCCTGAGTTCTCTGGATTTTCTATGTGGGACCACCCAGCACTGGCCTGCCTGATCACCAGAGCCTCTCACAGACCTTTAAGGTCGGATGAATGGAAGGATGAGCGGATGGGGCCCAAGGTGGTTGATACAGTGAGGGCAGGAAATGGCAAAGGCTCAGAGTCCCTCCCAGAGTCCGTGTTCTAGGAATCTACGGTGTCAGTGAAACGTCTAGCCATGTTGCAGGTGAGAGGGTGGGATCTGGAGGGTGGGGTCTTCGTGCCTCCTGGGCTGCAGATTCTCCTAGAAAGGGGCAGAAAAGTAGGTGCCAAGCGCCAAGCAAGATCCTGACTATAGCAAAAAGGACTAGACAAGAAAGGGCCCACTGGCCCCACAGCCCTCCATCCCTAAACTGTGTCCCAGTTCAGATGGCCCTAATGGTGTCTCCCAATGGCCAAAGATCCTGGAGATCAAGACGGAACACAGTGGTGCCAGGTTGGCACAGGTGGGTGGCCAGAACCTGGATGACTCATCAAGCCTGGGTCCCCTAAGCCAGGTCCAGCCAAGCAGGAGTACCCTCAATAGCTGCCCAAGCTGGCTCCCAGTAGACTGGCATGAGCCAGTCAGGCCCAGGCCAACACGGACAGCCGTGTCCCTGGCAGGCCTCCAGACCACCTGGCTGGCAGCCCTGAGCCCAAGTCTACCAGAGCCGAGCGGCCAAGCCATGCCCATGAGTGCTTCTCAAGCCCCCACTGCCATGCTCCCAGACAATGAATGGGTCTCCAACTCCCTTCCCCCAACCCTATTTGAAGCTCCTGCTCTCCTCAGAGGCATCACAAGAAGTTGCTATGGAAATGGGACCACAGGCAGAGCATGACAATGATTTGGGGCAGGCAGGAGCTGCGGTGGGAGCCAGTGCTCTCCTGGACACGAGGCCTGCCCATGTGCCGAGTCCCAGGAAGGATGAGAGAGCTCAGCTAAAGAGGACCGAGGGACCAGAGCAAGGGCAGGGCTTCCTTCCAACCTGCCCTGCTGGCTCCTTGCCCCTCAGCAGAGCATAGAGAGGCCTGAAAATCCAATGCCTGTTTGGCAGGAACTGGAGGAGGCTGCCAAAGTGGCTGCAGCCCTGGGGGAAGGAAGGTGGATACTGCAAGCACATAGCATGTCACCGAAGTTACATTCCTGTTCTGGGAAACACCCCACAGAACCGGAGTCCCATCACACAGACTGGAGATTGACAGCTACAAGGGCTGGCATCCCCCCACAGCAAGTTAGCCCTCGAGTCAACCCAGAACCCCAGTCTCTTCTTCCCCGGGCCCGAACCCTTGGACAACACACTGTCTCTCATTCACTCATCTTCCCGCTCACTTACACGCCTCTTAAGTGCTCACTGTGAGCCTGGTGACTGGGAGAGGTGCGAAGGATAGAGGAGATACATGGACAGGGTTGACCCATCACAACTGGAGGGAAGATATCCAGATAGAAACCCAGCACCCGGGAGTCAGGGCCGGCGACCTCGGGTTTTAGGCTACACACTTGAGCCAAGCTTCAGAGACCCCCAGTTCCCCTGACTCACCTCCCAAGCACTCTGTCCTCTACAGCCCACTGAGGCCTCATTCCCAGGAGGCTGTAGGGAGGATTTCTTCTAGTATCTTGCTAGAGTTGGGAGCCTGCATGTCTCCCACAGGCCCTTGTAGTAAAGGCATGGTCCCCAGGGAGGCACTATGAGGAGGAGGAGGAGGAGGAGGAGGAGGAGGAGGAGGAGGAGGAGGCTGAGCTTTTGGCCCTTAGGTCAATGGGGATGTGCTTTCATTGAAGACTGAGGCCCCACCCTCTTCTGAGATAGAGGGGTGTGCTCCACACACTCTTCCATCACCACAAGCTACCCACCTCATTATAGACCTGAAGTAACGGAGCCAGCAATCATGGGCCAGAACCTCTAAAACAGTGAGCTAAATAAACCTTTGCTCTATAAGATGGTTGTTTCTGGTATTTTGTCATAGTCATGGTGAGCTATGATCTGCAAGGTGTCCCCTTTCATACAGTATCTATCCCACCTCAGGGCGAGGGTGGGGGGGAGACATGGCATGTTGCTGACCAAGAAGTGGGACTTGAGTTCCACCAGTGGACAGGCAGTTGGACACTTGTTCTCTTCAGACCTCAGGCCCAACACAAAAGTACCTGGCAATTTCAAGATGCCCAGGGGCAAATAGATGCGGAGGGAATGGAATGGACGCTGTAGGAGCAGGAGCTTGGCAGGAGTGACAGGAGACAGGCACTAGCTTTGAGCTCCTGGTGTAGAACCAGGTACTTTCCTCGTGATTCCTAGCTTGGAAGACCTGCCAGCTCCAGGGTATCCTGCATGGGCTCTGTCTCCCAGCAACAGCCATAGCCTACCTGGGCCTGTGTTATCTGCGTGGGACGAAGCCCTGAGAAGTGTCAGCTGGACTACAAGAAGCCCTGGACTGAGAGGACAAGAGCATGAAAGAGCAGCAGGGAGAGAAGGTGGGGCTGGTCCAAGAGTACGGAAAAGAGGAAGGAGATCCCGGGAGGCTTCCTGGTGGAGGCAGAACTAGGGCTGGCTCAGAGCCTGTCCTCCAGAAAGAAAAGCACTTCTTCAGAGAACAGGAACACAGCCTATTTGTCCGTCCACACGACTTGGGCCTAGACTGGCAGGCAGAAGGTGAGGGGGCACCCTGTCCCCACACCACCGGGGCATCCCTAGTTACTGCTGCCTAATGGGGAAACAGCCGGGGCCAGACCCCAGGAGAGACAGAAGAGGGTGGGGCAGAGCATCCCGGAGATGGGGATACAAAGACCGCGCTGCAGTGACCTCAGACCTGGATGGACATGAGGAAGGACAGAGCTGAAGGGTGGACAGATGGGGACACTGCCCCCCAACTCCCACCAGAGACAGTGCTGCAGCTGCTGAGAGGAGCAGACAGCTGGGAAGGAGCCTGTACCCACAGCTTTGAGAAGATTTTTCAGCAATAAAACTCACATTTGAAATGAGACTTTGTGCAGTGAGGGGAAGCCTTCCTATGCCAAACATTAAATCCAGAGGCTATAAAGTGAAAATTTGACAAATCCAACTACATAAACATGTAAAACATCTGTACAGCAGAAGACACCATAAACAATGTTAAAATGCAAGTAAGACACGGCAAGAAAATATACTAATATGCAAAGAGCCCCTACAAATCAATAAGAAAAAAGACAAAAGAGAAAAAATTGGGAGTGAATTAGAAATCCGCAGAGGAAGAACTAAATTGGCCAATAAATGTATGAAAAGATGTTCTATCTCACTAACAATCAGGCAAATGCAAATGAAAGACACGATACCATTTTTTGCCCATCAGATTGGGAAAAATTAAAATGATTTATAACAAGCAGTGCTGGCAAGGATGATGGGAAATGAACACTCATAGACCATGGAAGGGAGGGGAGTTGGCTCAACCACTGCAAGAGTCATTTGGCAATATTGATTAACATTTTAAACCCACATACCCTACAACCCAGTAATCCCATTTCTAGAAGCCTCTTGTACAGAAATAAAAAAAAAAAAAAGTGCAGACACACACATAAAAATACTCAAGGATGCTCATAGCAGCATTGCCCGTAAGAGTAAGAAAGAAATTGGAAATGGCCTAAGCGTTTATCAATAAGGAAATATTCAAGTAAAACACGGCACATCCACGCCACAGACCACCCTGTAGCCATTCAACAGGGTGAGGCACAGCTTCACGACAACAGAGGGAATCGAGACACTACTTCAAAATAACTGTGTTTACAACTCACAGCCTATCCACGGACCGAGAGTGGTATGCCAGGCCTCGAGGTGATCACCCTTGAGGGGTGGGGCAAGGTGGGACAGGGAGCTTCTGGGGTTTCTGCATCCCACAAATGTACTGCTGGATTTTCTTTTGTAATCAGAAAAGCAAAATC